TATAAGCTTTTCAAATTTATAAAATTATTAATTTTTGTATCGTCCTATGGTTTTTTAACGGCATATTACTTAAAAATTATTTTACATCTTAAATAATGTTTTAGCAACAATGCCGACCATTTTCAATGATTCAATATAGCGGTTTGTATCCGGGGTATCTCACTCCTGTATCGACAAATATGTACGGCATTACTGAAAAATGTATGTGTAATGTCTGTATGATATTGTAAGTCTTATTATAGAAATGCCATACAGTAGTAAATAATTTGTATTAAGGAGAAAATAGTAGTAAAAATAAAATCAATTCTTGCAAGTAACACTTATTTGCAAAAATTTATTTTAAGCCATTCCAACCATTTTTTTTGTACGGCATTTTGTTTTTGTTGGTTATTGTTGTCAGTATTAACAAAATATATTAATGCCGTACAAAAATTTTGCACCGTGAAATCTTACTTTTCAGAGGGAAATTAATTTTCCTATAGTAAGCATGTTTCATGAAAAATGTACGGCATGGCCAAAAATGTCATTATTTTATAAAATAGAATTAAAATTACTGAATTTGATGTTGGTTCAAATCACCCCCATACGCTACTTACAAATAGAGGGTTGCACCCTGTATTCCTAACCCCTGTATCAGCAAGTACGTATGGCGTCGCTTAAAAGTTTATCTATGTATCGATCCGAAACTTGCGGTATAAATGCTGTATTTGCCGAAAACCACCCTCCCTTTGTGGACAGGTTTAGCTAACCTGTGTACTCACCTGTACCAACAAGAATTGACGGCATAGTTTCTAAAGTTATTGTTATATGTGGTAGTATTGATTTATAAGTAATTCATGCTGGGTCAAATGACCCCTTGAAAATTTCCGATGGGCTTGTACTCTATTACTGGCAAGCATTGCTTGCAGAAATTACTACTGGCAGAGAACAATCTACTATTCCATAGGTACGATAAAATCATGATAAGTGTTATACCTACTAGACGAAATAAAGCTTTTAACTAATAATATTGTTGAAAATAACTACTCTGCAGACTTCAGCTCTGTCTAGCATTGAAATACACCCGCAATATCTAGTCAACAGCATTTGCCCAAGTAATGTAAATTTCAACGATACTGTGTAAAGCTGAAGAAAATAAAAAGTAAACTATACCTGTTGAACTAAAAAAACAATTAAAACTAAAAAGAAGTAGAGAGTGAAAGTACATATAGAAAAGTAGTTTTATTTTAATTTATTTGAAATATCGAGACCTAATATCTTAATAATAATAGATTATGTTTTACTTGGCCTTGACCACTTTTTTATTCCTAGTTGGATCTGCAAGCTGCTTTTTCTTTTGTTGTTTGTTCTCATTGAAAACTTTTCTTATATACGCCATACGCTTTTTTAACACCTCCCTCCATCCGTACTCTAGGGCCATTCTTTTCTCTTCAATTGAGGGGGATCTGTTTAATATCTTCTGGAACATCATCAGCCAAACCAATTCCGTATTGCATAACTAATACAAAAAATATGCATTATTACATTGATTAAACTTGCGTTAAAAATACTGTTTTATTCAGTATGATTATTTATTAAAAATGAGTTTAATATTTTCAGTATTTGGTGTTAAACAAGCGAGGAAAATTACTTAAAAAAATATGTACATATTTACTATAGAAACACTGAGATACTGATTGTACCTCGAAAAATATTTTGTTGGTTTGCATCAATTTCAGCACATCATTTGCTCTCAAATATTTCAATATGTTTAAAAAAAGTGCAGTAGGTAAATTTTCCAGTTTTCTCTTTTTGTTTCCTAAATCCATGATATAATCAAACACATTACCGCCGAATATATTTTTTATTTCTTCTTGGAGAAATTTATCCTGTATCACATCTTCTAGTAAACAAATTTTTTGCTTTGGCATAACGTGGGGTCCGTGAGTAATTTTCCAAGCATTAATAGAAATCTGAAAATTAAGCAAAAATCTGTTGCATATACAGGGTGTTCCTTAATGATATGCGAATATTTAAGGGTCTGATTCTACATGAAAAATTAATGATAATTTGCTTTATAAACTATGGTCCAAAAAAACTATCATTATTTTCCTTGTAGAATTACCTTTTAATATTCGCATATCATTAAAGAACACCCTGTAATAAATATTAGATAAATGTTTTCCACGTGTAGATAAACATACAGTGTGTTGCGACAGACCTAGCACATTCAAAGAAAAAACATTTTTGGATCCACTGACTCCATCGATAACTCGGCTTGCTCTGCCCATTTTAAAAGTGTACAGGATAATAACAATAGCTGAATATACGCGAGCAGTTTTATTGACCGATTTGGCCGATTTATCGTTGAATTGCGTAAATTGTAAAGATAAAACTGCTAGTTTGGGTCATCAAGAAAAATTGTAAAATACCAAAATTTTGGCGGATAAATTGTTGTCAAATAATTTGGAGCGATTATTTTGTTACGTACACTAACACAGCGATCAAACGGCAGATAAATCTGTCGTGAATTATCGGGCGATATTTTGTAGAGCATCATCTGCGTGTTAGTACGTGTTGGAGGAAATATCTGCGCGATATGTTGTTACGGTTTATTTTTCATTTAGATTGGTCACTAAAACAAATTACGTTTAGGAAAAAAGCAGTAAATAGCTATTATTTCGTTAGGAGCGGACTAAACAGAGTCCAAACTTCATAGTAAATATGCGCTACTCTCACTCCGTCTTGGACTGCTGCGCAATGGTAACCATAAGCACCGTTGTACACATTTTACAGATGTAGGAGCGAGCTACGAGGTGTCCACGTATTCAGAGTTTTGCAACGAATTTTAAATTTTAAATACAATTTTTTTACTATGAAAATTTCTAAGGAGGGCGGCGCCCTAGAGAAATAGTAAAGTGAAATAGGCGAATTTTAAGGGTTTAATAAATGAACTTAATAATTTAATTAATATTTTGATAAATATTTATTTAGTATGACCTACTATCTACATTTAACTGTTTAACCAATATTAATTAGGTGGAATATTATAAAGATAAAGTTTGTAGTCAATAAACTAACTGATAATTTGAATAATGCCGTGAGGCACGCGTACTTTTTTACCAATGTGAAACTGCCTTATTGTGATATTCGATACCTTTTCTTTGCGTGAATTTTGTTGTATAATAGCTACTAGCTACTAGCTACTACAAGTCAAACACAAACTGGAATTACGTGCTGTAATTTACCTATAACTGGAAAATTTTATAGAAGTTTTGATATTCTGTAATTTTACGTATTTTGGCTTCTCATTTCAAATTTTTCATTTGCAACCTCTTTGCCGGCGGCGCCGTCAATTATAAATTGGGAAAAAAGAGATGTTTTAAGATATCTCTTTACTCGTTGCTTTTATAGCAAAAATAGTTATGTAACAAATTCAGGAAATCAGGAAATTTGCTTCAAAATAGGTTCTAACCATTTTTTTCATAAAACCGATCCGTTTTGAATAGTATGAAGTAATGAAGTAGAGTATATGGTGCGTTTTTTTTGTCTGTTGTTTCCCCAGTACCTAGGCCTAATCCACACATTAATTGATAAATGAAAATTACAATAATTTCTTTCGCTTTGATATGAGGGACCAGTTTTATCGATGTTTTTGATAGCTGAAGGCAACGAAATCGTGTGGGAATAATTCTTCTGGCGCAGTAACTTCTTATATACTTTCTGTATCGATTTCATTACACATTCTAAAATCGTATCGGTGTCTTCATCGTCATCACACAATGCTTGGGACTTGTTATCACATCTATTGTCACAGCAAATTATAGAACAGTTGAGCCCTGCTTTCCTACATCCACATGCTCCCCGACATCCTTTCTTGCATTTACAAGAAATTTATTTAAGGAGAACATCTGGAGCAGGGGCTTGGAGTGTAGTCAGAGGGACAAGACCATTGTTGTCTTTCTTCCATCCCCATTAATCCGCAGGTTTTTCGTTACCAATCCATTGCTGTATCTGATGATACGTTCGAAACTAATGTTGTTCTGCTGCTTCTGTAGGAAACAATGAACCGATGTTAAATGTATTCCTGTATGCTGATTTTATGAAGCATTGGTGCCTATAAGTGTTCAGAGGTATAAATTCCTTTTTATTATAGCCTTAAAGTCTGAGGAGAAGGTATTCTGCAGCTTTAGATACAATTTCTTTGTCAGCATATTTTTTTTTAAATACTTTTATAGCTTCGTGAAGGAGGGCGAGGTTAATGGTCATCCGAGCGGTAGGTTTAACACGTTAAATGCATAGTGTTTTACACGCTACGTAATTGGTGAGTTGTAATTCTTGTACGTGACAACGGTTAGTTTTATGAAAAAAATGATAGAGACCGTTTTTGTAGAGAAAATTGTGTAGTTTAATTAATTACAGAATTATTTTTGTTATAAAATCAACCAGTAACAAGATATATACAAAAATTAATTTCAGGTCACTTTTTTACGAGGTGACAAAATAAAAAATCGAAGAAAACAGTTCAAAATACATATAATCGCCAAATATCAAAACTTCTACAAATTTTTCCAAGCAAATTCATGAGGTTACTGGACTATGAATAAAATTGTTTTTTAAGTTACTCACGCATGAATTCGTTATGGTCAATCCGTAGTAATCCCTGCATGGTGCTGCAGCTCTTGCATAGAGTTGAAGAAGCGTTGACTGTTTCAGATTAGGTGTTTTAGTCATATATTAAAGTAATGAAAAAATAGAATACAATCTTTCTTGAAATTTTTGTCAACGTAGCATTTGACAATGACAATACGTCTAATTTTTATACAGCGGCTGAAGCAAAGTGACATAGAGCAACTTAAGTTGCAGATAGAATAATTGAAAAAAAAAAAGATTTTCTAATAGAATCTTATGTGGAATACCTACTAAACCATTTCCGAGATAATTGAACATACGCATTTCTTGCTTTTAAACCAAAAAAGAAATTGCCCAGACTTTTTATTTTTCTGAGTTTTGAGAATGTCAAAAACCAACGAGTAAAAAGTAGGTACCCCTTTCGTTTAGTGTGAAAAAATTAAAAATACATTTTTAACATTAACAGCTGTCAAAAAATAAAAATAAAGTTTCCAATTTATCTTTCAAGTGGCTGTAGCTCTTTTGTATAATACAGGATGTTAAAAAAAGAGTGTAAAATATTTATTTATTTATTTATTTATTTATTTATTTATTTATTTATTTACAAATAAGGGAATCCAACAGAATTTCTATAGAAATTCCAATTATAGGATACCACTTAAGATTACATTAACCATATAACTATGTGCATTGCATACAAACAGAAAAAGAGAAGAAACATACTCGTATGTACTTATGTGTAAAAAAGAAAAAATGTTCATATGTGATAAAGAAACTAATATCTAAGGAAAAAATATATAATCTAACAAACATAAAAAAAGACAATAAATTTTTAACAAAAAACATCAATAGCACAGCGCCTGACTTGATTAAATGATTTATCAAACAAATCTATGTGACTGAAATACTCGTTGTAGTTTTTCTGGATTAAAGTAATAGGTGAATTACAACTATAATTATTAGGATTTACATTTAAATAAAATAAGTTTGTTGATCTTGTTGTACGAAGCTTTATGTTAAAATTAAGCCTACTTAAAATATAATTACAGTCAATATTACCATTTAGGAGTTTGTATAAAAATAAAACGTACGATATTAATCTACGAGAGGATAA